GGTGAGGCCCGGGGCCTGCGGAAGGGACGCAGAGAGGCGCTCCCCCCTTCCTCCCGGGCCAAAGCTCGAAATCGGTGCAGGGGGTGGGGTGGGGTGGGGGTGGGGGGTCTTCATCCAGCTCACAGAGGCCCGCACTGTGCAAACACCGCGTGTGCATTGGGGAAGGAAAATTGTGCAAAAAATCCCATAATGCCTCCTTTCCATGAACTCAAACAGGGTCCTAGGGGGCACTGCAGAGCCACACGGTGTCCCCCTCCCCTCCCCAGAGCCACACGGTGTCCCCCTCCCCTCCCCTTTAGAGAGTCTGATGCTCAGGCGTGGGGGTCTGCGTGTGCCGGGTTGAGGTCCTCTCACCCCCTGGAGCAGGAACCTGGGCAAGGTGCAGCCCGCATGTCCTCCCAAGCCCACAGGCTGGGTCAGGACGGTGCTGTTGGAGCAGAGGGGGATCCGCGGAGCTTCGGTGGGGCTTGGCATCCCCCTGGGTGTTTCTGATGCCCAGAGCACCCTTGGCCCTGAAGAGAGACCCCTGCGGGCATCCCTCCCAGTGTTGGAAGCACAGAGTGTGGCCGGGGGCTGGCTCGCAGGGGCCCGCACAGCAGTGGGCTGGAGGCACACACTAGCGGGAAGCCGCCCAAATGCCGGCGTGTGGCGAGCGAGCTGAAGAGACAAAGATGCCGGGGCAGAGTGAGCCTGGCCGCATGGACACGCCAGGAGCCCGGCCGGCGGCCCGAGGTCCCCAGGCAGCCTTCCAGGAGGCGGCGGCTGGCGTCTGCCCGCCTGGCCGGGGCTAGCCGTCGGAATTCTCTGAAGGCGGGCCCTGGGTTAACCAAATCCACCAAGAGCCTGGAGTCCCTCCTGCTAGGGATTCGCGAGAGGGAGGGCGCCCCCAGACGGGCCTGCATGGTTTGGCTGCGTCCCAGGCTGGGGCTGGCGGTCTCCCTGCCCAGGGAGTCTCCCCATCTCAGGGCGCTGACATCATGGGAGGGAAGGAAGTGACAGTAGCCCGTCTCCTGCCCAGTGTATTCCAGTTACACCCCCCTCCCACCCCGGACAATGACAGCCACGGCATTTTTAGCGCCTTATGTCACCCACCTTCCCCACACGGGATGCCCACAGAGCAGGGTGGCGTGGGAGCGGGACCGCCACCCTGAGTCATGGCCGCTCACTTCTTCCGTGGGGTGGGGTTGCCTGTGAGTCAGCGGCACTGGGGAGGCCCCTCGGAGTGCGAACGGCGTGGGGGCCGGCGGGCTGGGGCCACGCACCTGGGCTGTGCTGGGGCCATGCACCTGGGCCATGCTGGGGCCATGCACCTGGGCCGTTCTGGGACCGCTCCTCCGCCCCCTGGGCTGTGCTGGGACCACACCTCTGCCCGCTGTGGCGTGGGGGCTGGCGTGCTGGGCCACGCACCCGGGCCGTGCTGGGACCGCACCTCTGCCCACTGTGGCGTGGGGGCCGGCGGGCTGGGGCCACGCACCCGGGCCGTGCTGGGACCGCACCTCTGCCCACTGTGGCGTGGGGGCCGGCGGGCTGGGGCCACGCACCCGGGCCGTGCTGGGACCGCACCTCTGCCCCCTGGGCCGTGCTGGGACCGCACCTCTGCCCGCTGTGGCGTGGGGGCCGGCGGGCTGGGGCCACGCACCCGGGCCGTGCTGGGACCGCACCTCTGCCCACTGTGGCGTGGGGGCCGGCAGGCTGGGGCCACGCACCCGGGCTGTGCTGGGACCGCACCTCCGCCTGTGTGTTACATTTGTTACCAGTTTGCAAATCTGTGTGCATCCACGCTGGGGCTTCTCAAAGCCGGTGAGAGTTGAATGGAAAGTTGATCTGGGGCATAAAACTGGAAGCCGTGCATACCAGCGATCCCCAGAAAGCTCGTGGAAGTGTGTGTTACGAGCTGCTATGCATGGGTGTGGTGGGTGTGGTGGGTTTGGTGGGTTTTGGTGGCTTTTTGTTTGTTTGCTTGTTTGTTTTTGCACCAAGATAAACTTATCGTTTCATTCCGTTTTCCACGAACTTTTTGAAGCGCCCACGAATGTGAGCATGCGCGTGTGTGTCGACTCCGGGTGCGCTCCCATTGGTGGGGCGGGGTCAGGAGATGGAGAGCGGAGCCTGGTTTGCCTCCCCGCCTGACCTTAAGTCAAGTGCGTCAGCTCCCCGGGCCTGGGTGTGCTCGGCTGTGGAACGCGGGAGATAACATCGGCCTCCCAGGTCCCTGTGAGCGTGCAGGGGAGGCCTGGTGCTCAGCTCGGCGCTGGGGTTCTGTGGGGCAGGGGAGAGGGTGTTCCTGGCCTCCAGGGGGTTGGGGTCACCGGGAGGCCACGAGGAGACACAAGGCCAGCCCACGACAAAGGGGGGTCCTGCCCCAGCGTCCGTGGCGGGAGGCCGGAGAGCCAGCAAGCCCTGATGCCGTGGTTCGGGCACCTTGTCCTGTCCCTTTGTCCTGCCGGTCACCAAGGTGCAGGCAGGACGCGCTCTCCCCGTGGTGGTGGCAGCGAGAAGAAAACAAAATGCCGCTGGCAAGGGCCCCCCTTTGCAGCCCGACACAGACGTCACCCCCCAGGTGGCCTTGACGGTCTCTTCTTGTCGCTTTCCACGTGTGCCCCTGGGGACGGCCCAAATGTCAGCAGAGTTGGAGGCGGCCGGCGGCACCAGAGGGCAGGGCTGTGGCAGAGCAGACGCAGCCGCGGCGTCTGCCGCGATGACTCCATGGGCCGGGTGGGCTCCCCGCTAACCCGCGAGGTGGGGCGTTGATCCTGGCGGGGAGAGCGGCCCCTGTGAGCCGGTGAGCAGGAAACGCGGCCCAAGTGGTGCAGTGCGTGGGGAGGGCCTGCTGATGCCGAGTCTGGCGGGCCCAGGGGAGACGGACCGAGGTAGGTGCCCGGGGCACAGACCAGGGGCCGAACAAGGGGAGCCCAGAAAGCAGCCCCGACTGGGGGGATGGCTTCACTTAGGAGCGCCTCCTCCCGCCCGGGTCCTGGGGCTTTTGTTACTTGTGTTGGTCCTCAGCTGCCCCTCCGGGGACAGACTTGGTCTTTCCCCGTCTGTCCACCCCCGCCGTGTCCCCTCTGCACGCTGGCCGGTACAGGATTGGAGCGAAGAGGGATGCCCCCACAGGCGGTGAGCGTGGTGTACGGCAGGATAAGGCGGCTCAGGCCCCGGAAGTGAGGCTGAACGCGTCTTCAGCAACCCAGGCAGGAGGCGTGCGAGGTCGTCCCCCACCTGGCTGCCCCCAGAGGGGCTCCGGCCCAGGGCCCCATCACGGGCAGCAGGCAAGGGTCACGTCCCAGCATTCGGGAGCGCCGGGGCGTCCACGCTTACTCTCTCTGTGCAAATCCACACCTCGGAGACTTTGGGAGCGCTAGGACTCGGGTTCGGAGAGCATGACGGGGTGACGCGGTGTAGGCTGGTCACCGACAAGGAGACGAGGACGAAGTAACTGTGTGTGTGTGTGTGTGTGTGTGTGTGTCCGCTCCTCCCAGCCCTGGAAACTTGACCTCCGGTGAGACGGGGGCCCCAGAGGGCTGTGTCTGCAGGGGCACCGGCTTGGGATGGTTCTGCAGACCCCCCTGCTGGCATGGCCGTGCCGGGTTCTGACAGTTCACAGACTTGGGGCGTCTCAGGGCCAGGACGGGGGCGTCTCAGGGGCAGTCCTGCTGGGAGGAGAGAGGACGGCAGCCGCGGCCGCCCTGCGGTGCCCGGGCCGGGTTGTGGCTTCGGGTGTGGCCGATGCTCACGGGAGAACACACAGGCTCCGTGAGCCCGAGGGGGCTCTCACGAGGGCCAGAAAGAGCCGCAGTGCAGCTGGACCCGTGCCAGCCCCAGCGCCGCTTCCCGACTTCAGCTGCCAGCCACGGAACCGAGGCCTGTCGATGACATGGTGCCCTCGGCAGGCCGCTCTGCCGTCACTTCTGCAGGCGTCCGGTGTCCCCAAGCCACCACTGTGGGCGATGGTTGGGCACTGGTGGAACGAGCCTGGGACACAGACCTCCCCTGTGAGATGAGAGGCAGGGATGTACTTAGTTTAATGCCAGAGGTTCTGTGGGAACGGAGGATGGCCTGCGTGGTAGGTGGAGGAGAAATCCAGGAGGACCCCCTGCAGGAGGTGGTATCTGCTGCACACCATAGATAACAGGATTCAGGGAGGCGGTGGACAGGGGGGCTTTCCCCCCGGGGGCTCAGTCAGCGTGGCTGCCCCGGACCCTTGCCTCTTTTCTCCTGTGCAGGGATGGAGGCTTAAAGATGCCCCTAGGTTTCCTCCCGAGTGCCAAGCCCCTGCTGAGTCGTGGGCTGAGAAAGAGCAGAGCTGGGACCCCCCACCCCGTCCCGTGATCTCGAAGGCTGGGGGCCGAGGCAGCTGATGCCCGCTTAGACCTCGTGGACGGGGCTGTGCCCGAGCCTGGGCACAGAACACGGGGGCCAGCAGTACCGGCAGGACCGCGGTGGGGAGGGTCTCAGGCGAGGGGCGGAGCCGGGCCATTCTGGGGCGGGGGTGAGAACTGAGTGAGGCAGGAGTTTGCACCTGGTGGAGGGAGACCCTGGGACCCTGTGTCCCCAGCCCTGGGGCTCTGGTTTGAAGTGGGGCGCCGGGGCCGGTTCCCCTCCACCCCGCCCCCCGGGAAAACACTTCCTCCCCCAACCCCGAAGGGGCACTTTCCCTGGATAAAAATAAAGCCTGGAGGGGCCCACAGGAACGGGATACTTTCTTCCTGTGTTTAAATTCCTACGGAAAATCTGACCCGCGCGGGAGCGGGCGGACCGCACTTATATCTTTAAGGAAAAGAGAGCCCGGCGGGCGTCCAAGTTCCCGGTCAGGCTAGGCGGCCTGCAGGAGCAGCCGCCAGGTCGGGCGCCGGCGGCCCTGGGGGAGGGTCGGGCGCGCCCCGCACCGGGCGGGCGGGCGGGCGGGCGGAGCGGGAGGCGGCCACGTCCCGGCGGGGACCGCGGGGAGGCCCGGCCCCCTGCGAGCGAGCGCGCGCGAACGCTGCCGTCTCCGCTTGCAGAGGCCGTGGGTGGGGAGGGCGCGCCGCCCGGCGGTCCGCGCGCACAGGCGGCCACGATGCGGGTCAGCGAGAAGTACTCGACGCTCCCGGCCGAGGACCGCAGCGTCCACATCATCAACATCTGCGCCATCGAAGACATCGGCTACCTGCCTTCCGAGGGCACGGTGAGTGCGGGGCGGCGGCGCGGCGGGCGAGCACCTGCGCGCCCGGGCGCGGGGAGCGGGGCGGCGGCGTCGGGGGAGCGCCGGTCCCAGCCGGAGCGGAGCGCGCGCGCAGGCGGGGCCCACCTCTCAGAACGCGGCCCTTGCGCCCCCACCCGGGAGCGCAAGGCTGAGGTCCCCCCTCCCCCGGCGGGACCCTCCCTTCCAAATCTGTTGGGGCAGCCGCTCGGGGTGGGGGCCGAGGGCGGAGGCCAAGCCCCTGGGAGCACAGAGTGGCTGCCCCCGCCCTGTGGGGCGCAAACTCCCGCCGCACCTGCCTTGGGGGCCTTGTGCCCTGGGTGCTGGGCCGCGCAGGGGACTCGGAGCGCCCAGGGCAGCCCGCGGGCACCCGGCTGTCCAGACTGCTCCTGGCTCCGGATAGCAGCCGGATGGGGTGCTGGCGCAGAGCCAGGCATCTGGTCAGGGACCCCCCCCCAATCCAGAGATCCCCACTGCCCGCCCCCCACGGGCCCCGGGGCAGGACTCAGTGGCCAAAGGCTCCTGGGAGATAGACGCCTCCGTGAGGTGTTTGGCTGAAGGCAGAGTTTCTGGGGGTGGGGCCACTGAGCAGGCTGGGACCCCAGGACAGAATCCCCTTTCTCTGCCCCCCCCCCCCAGCGGAGGCCTCGGCCCTGCCGCTCTGACGAGGTGGAGCTGCGCTGGCCTGTCCTAGCAGTCTTGGTGCTGGAGGGCCCGAATGCCAGCGCAGGGCGCGGGGGGGCGGTGTGTGCGGGGGCCAGGACAAGCCCAGGTGGCTGGGTTCCAGGCTGCAGGGCAGGCAGCCGCCCAGGCCTGTCAGGGACCCCACTCTTGGGGTCTCACTGGCAGTCAGATGGAGAGTAGGGGGCTCTCTGGGACGTGGGCTTCACACCGAGCGGCAGGGAGGTGGCGGTTGGGGGGCTTTTGCCACGAGAAACAGGATCCTGCGTGAGCGGCTCGGGGCTGGCAGCTGCTGGTCCCTGGGCACCCGCAGAGGAGACAGGGCAGGCTCCGCCCACCTGGAGTTGGAGGAGGGAGACGAGATGTTACTGTCACCCGTGCCAGTGACAAGGGATGGTTCCTGGGTGCCGGGCCAGCGGCTGTCCCAGCGTGGGGTCACCCACCAGCTGGGAAGAGCCGGGGATCCGGAAGCCTGTGGCCACGCAGGACCTGCCTGAGGAGGGAGGGGGTGTCACGCCCCTGCCGGGCTGGGTGGGGCTCGGGCTCTTCCAGACAGGTTGCCTATGCAGAGACCCGGAGGCAGGGCAGAGGGACCCCAGGTAGGAGGCACGAGACAGGTGACAGGGAGATGGGTGTTCCGCAGGCTGACCCTGTTGAACTTGATGGTGACTTGGGTGTGGGGCGAGAAAGGGAGCCCTTGGCGAGTGGACACAGGGCTCGAGAGCTTAAGTTTTAGTCCCCAGAAACCACCTGTCCCGCTGCACCCGAGGACCTCGCAGGGGCAGACAGGCCGGCGAGCCCGCTGGCTCTCGGCACGCAGACCCTCCTTGGCACTCGCTTTGTCCTGCGGGGCTGGAGGGCGGGGGGCCGGCTGGCAGGAAGGAGGGGCCCCCCAGCTTGCTGCTGGGAGGGGTCCACAGACAGCCTGGGGGCGGCAGCGCTGGAGCAGGGGGCCTGCTGGCACGGGGCAGGCACTGACACCCCTGGCCCGGCACAGGCCCCGTGGTTGCTCAGTCATCGCCCTGAGTCACCCGCCTCCTACACGTGGAGACCGGAGGCTGTGGGCTGCGTCTCGGAAGGTCCCTGCCCCATTCTAGGCCCCGTGGCCCCTGCGTGCTTGGGTTGGCCACAGGACAAGCCCGTGCCGCCAGCCCGGGTCCCTCTGCCTTTCCCGTGTGCGAGGGTGAAAGCCACTTCAGAGAGCGTCCGAGGAACGCACTCGAAAGCGGGGCCCAGGCGGCCTGGGTCCTGCCCCGGGCTTTGATTTGTCTGGAGCAGTTCTGACTTCTTCCTGCAAACCGGCAGCAGCCAGGCTCTGGGATCTGTGTGTCCCGAACAAGCCCAGACACCCCGGCAGTACCGGGCTCGCTGTGTCTGCACACCTGCCCGCGAGATAAGAGCAGTCCCTGCCTGCCTGCCTGCCTGCCGATGGCTTCTAGCCCGCTGATCTCCCCGAGTCGATACCGGGGTTGGGGCGTCGCGTGGACGACGACCTGGAATTTCAGCGACGGCCAAAACACGCTTCCCTCAGATCCGAGGGTCGGGGCATCCCCAGCCAAAAAATAAAGTTCCAGGCGGCTGATTCCGGCTCCCCAGTTCCAGAGAAAGCAGGTGCGGCAGCCTGCCTCGGCAGGCCTGCGCTGGTCCCCGCGGACGTTGTGAGTGGGGTTCCCAGAGCCGAGACGAGTGACACGTGCAGGGGTCCCCATGGCACCCCAGGGACCACCGCCCCCTTCTGCCCTTTCCCGGGGTGTGGGGAGCGGTTGGGAGAGACAGGTGTGGCAGTGCCTGGGCCGGCGCCGCCAGGCCACCCTGCTGTGAGGGCCCCATTGTCCCCTGGCCCCGCCCCACAGGGCCTCAGGAGCTGTTTTGCTCCCACCATTTTCCCATCTTGGGGACACTTTTTCCAGGAACATCCCTGACCCCAGACACTTAGGGGGTCATCCTCAAAACGCTCCTGTATCCCTGGTCATGCATTTTTTAAAAAGATTTCTTATTTATTTATTTATTTATTTGAGAGGTAGAGTTACAGAGAGAGAGAGAGAGAGAGAGGTCTTCCATCCACTGGTTCACTCCCCAGGTGGCCACAAGGGCCGGACCTGGGCTGATCCAAAGCCAGGAGCCAGGAGCTTCTCCTGGTCTCCCATGCGGGTGCAGGGCCCAAGCACTTGGGGCGTCCTCCACTGCCTTCCCAGGCCACAGCAGAGAGGAGCAGAAAGGAGCAGCAGGGACTTGAACCGGCGCCCTTATGGGATGCCAGTGCTGCGGGCGGAGGATTAACCTACTGCGCCACAGCCCACCCCACCCCGTCACGTTTTATCCCCGCGGGAACCCTGGGCCTCAAGTCCAGGTGTTTGTGTCTGGGTCCCAGCACAGGGAAGCAGTGGGGGCCGCGTGTGTCCTGTTCAAGTCGCCAGCCTGCTGGGCCTCAGCTCCTGGGCCCTTGGATCTGTGGGTGCCTCCCCCAGCAGCACGTGGGGCCAAACCTCCGCTTGCACCCGGCGTTCCTTGGCTGTGTTCTGTGCCAGCTGCGGGAAAGGTGAACAGAGGGACTCCAAGGGCCCCGCTCAGGGGGTCAGCTGCCCCTCGGCTAAGGGGACGGGCGTGAGAACACTCGGGCGGCTCTCCCGGGTCTGAGCTGGGAGGTGACGCGTGCAGGCTGAGGCGCGTCTTTCCTGCTGCACTGGGAACCTTTGGTCCGGTTTGTTCTCCACGAGAGACGGGCGCAGAGCCGCGTGGTCCCCACGGCAGCTCTGCCTCCTGGCTCGCTATGGCCCAGCTTGGAGCTGCTGTCCAGGCGCCGGGGGCCTGCGGCCCGCCTCGGCCGTGACCAAGGGCCGTGACTTCCTGGTCAAGGGCTGCTGACCGCCCTTACGGGCAGGCTCATCCCCGTGTAAACCAAAGATCTAAACAGGGAAGCAGCACAGCCAGGAAGATGCAGACAGCGTCGGCCCCGCCGCACCCGGCTCCTTCTGCAAGTCCGGATGTGGCACTGCCGCCGCCTTTCTCTAGTGGTCCGGCCTGACCGTGAGGTTGCTTCTTCCTCTTGTAAGGGCTGTGATGATTTTTTCTCCTCCATGGTCATCTTTGTTGTTGTTTTATTTATTTTCACCTACTTGAAAGGCAAAAACAGGAAGCGAGCTTCCATCTGCTGGTTCACTCCCCAGGGGCCTGCGTCGGCCAGCAATGGGCCTGGTTGAAGCCAGGAGCCCAGAACAGCATCTGGGTCTCCCCCACTGGGTGACGGGCCCAGATGCTCGTGCCACCCCCTGCTGCCCCCAGGATGGGTGGGAAGTAGGGCAGGCAGGAGGCAGACCCGAGCCCTGTGACACCCGCCCCGAACACCTGACCATGGACGTGACGGGCCTGATCCTTCCAGCAACCCTGTGAGGGGAGTCCCCACACGACAGAGTCTCGGGGCTGTGGAGGGCCAGAGGGGGCCACCTGGCAGGAGTCCAGCCTCTGGCTCCTCCCCCTGCCCCGTGTGGAAGCTGGGGGGCGTGTCCACGTCCCCCCCAGAGCAGGTGTGTTCCTGGGTGGACCCCGTGGACAGGAGGCCGCTGGTGGTGCAGACCTGGGACCTGCTCCCGGCAGGACGTCCTGTCTCTGGGTCCCTCCTCTCCTGCGGGGTCTGTGCACCCACCTTGTTCAGTGTCAGCCGTGAGCCCTGCCAACCAGGAGCACTGCTGCCCCCGCCCCGCCCAGAGGCTTTGGCCTGGCTGCTGACGTCCTGCCATGTGGTGATGAGGCCACTGCACCTAAGGACTTGCAAGCAGACGGTCCCGGACACTCCCAGGACTTGGCTAGCAGGCTCAGGGCCGGCGGGAGCAGGGGCTGGAAGGGGGACTGCAGGCGGCCCTGGGAAGTGGTACACGGAGGAGGCCGGGTGAGCAGCCCCAGCCCGGGAGCTGTTGCGGCCCGGGCAGCCGCCTGGTGTTGCCTTCCACCTGGAGAGCCGGCCGTGCTGGCTGCGGCTGTGGACTGCGTGCCCCCGCAGCCCACTGCCTGCACAGCCTCTTGCCCCTCTCCACTCCAGCACGCAGGGACCAGGCAGTGCCTCCCAGGGCCAGCTGGCCCCCGGCGACTCGGTACACCCCTGACCGCCCCGAGGTGCGGAGGGCAGGGCCGGGGCTGGAAGCCAAGCAGAGGCTGGGCAGGTTTAGGGGTGGGGGTGGGGGCGGGGGCGGGGCCGTGCCTGCATTGTCTTGCCCTCAGGTTTCCACAGAGGCAGACACGGGCCCTGCCCCCCGCCGCCACCAGGCACTGCCCAGAAGTTCCCTGCTGGCCTGGCCTCTCGTTCCTGTGCACCGGCTCCCCACGCACAGCCGGGCACGCAGTCCCCTCCAGGTCCAGGAGTGCCCGAGCCCTGTCCTGGGTGAGGCCGTGGGCAGGCAGCGAGGGAAGGCCGCCTCGATGAGGAGGAGCAGCTGCCTGGGACGGGCTGGGCGCCCAGGGCTGGGCGGAGGCCTCCCACCCGCCGTCAGCTCAGGGCCTGCTCCCGCACTGGGCCTCCGTTTCCCCAAACAGGAGTGCAGAAGTACGTGTGTGAGAGGCTGGGGCCCTTCTTGAATCTGCCCCTTCCTGGGTTGGGCCACGACTCCGCCTGCCCTCAAGAGCCAGCCCTTGCCACGCCCATCCCAGCCCCCAGGAGCCTCCCAGGCCCCAAGCCCCCGCGCAGGTGCACTCCAGGGAGAGGATGGGGGTCCCTGGGAGCTGGCTGGGTTCTCCTGTGGTGGGCAGGACAGGCTAGAGCTGTCACCGTGCGTCACCGCTGGCGGAAGGCGCCTGTGACTCCAGGTGCTGACCATGCTGCCCGCCAGGAGGCAGCGTCCTGAGGACGGAGAAGCTGAGATGGCAGGGGTTTGGCCCCACCTGTCCCTTAAGCAGGGGTGAGGACCTCCCAGTCCCGGCTGTCTGTCTCTGCCCATAACCCCCTCCCCTCGCCCCCGCACTTGGTGGGGGGTGGGTCTCTCCTGCTCCTCCCTGATCCCCCCACAGTTGGAGTTGTAGAGCTGCCACCCCTCCTGCTGTTCCTCCCACCAAATGGTGGGTGACCACTGGGGGCACTTGCCGGCCTGGGGGCTGGGGTAGCCTGTGGCCATTGGCAGAGCCCGAGCTTTGTAAGGAGGGTAAGTGGGGGCCCTGCTCAGCAGCCATGCCTTGAGTGGGGTAGGGTAGGAGTCGGGCGGGCAGGGGGGCATGGGGAGAGCCAGGGGCTGGGAGCGGGGCGCAGAGCCTGGCAGGCTCTCCTTCAGAAAGGGCTCTGTGTGCCTGGCAGGGAGAGGACGGGAGGGTTGGGTCCGTACACGCCTCTGGACTGTCCCGGGCACACGTCAGGGAAGGCTTCCTGGAGGGGGAAGCCGGGCTCCTGCTCCGCCTGGGAGGACCCCGTTCCTGGGCAATGCTGGGACTGAGCGTGGGCGTGAGGTGCACCTGCGCGTACCTGCGCACCCGGGGTGGGAAGCACGCCGAGGCGGCAGGCTCCCACGGGCACCGTGGCGGTGCCCCTCAGGCCCCGGCCTGGTCCCGTTTACTTTCCCTTGCTGCTCAGGTTCCTGCTTGCTGGCGGCACCATGTGCGCTGGTAGCCACGTTGCAGGGGTGTGCACGTCTGGTTTTCTCAACCGGCCGCTGGCTGCACCCCCACCTCCTCCGTCCCCCAGGGGAAGGAAACCGGCTCAGGCAGACCCTGTGCCACCCCCTCGGGCACCCCCAGCACCCCCAGACAGTGAGCCAGCGGCTTCCTGCCCTCCCCGTTCTGAAGCATGGTCGGAGGGGTGCACCCTCGGTGCCCAGCAGGACAGAGCCCAGCTGCCTCCCTCCACCTCCCACCAAGTCACCTGGAGGTCCCCCCCCGGAAGCTAGCCCCTGCCACGCCCATCCCCCATTCTTGGGGGAAGCCGGCCAAGTCCGCGAGAGCCCCCGTTCCGGCCCCGCAGCCGCTCGGTGGCCCTGCCGCCACCCCGAGGAGGTGATGCCTCAGCTGGCCCGAGGGGTTGAGATTCGCACACAGTACTGAAGTTCAGCTCTGCCGCGTCTCAATCCCAGCCCCCGGGGTGGGCAGCAGGTGGTCCCCGGAGCCCCGCCTCACCGTGGCCAGAGCGTGGCCGGGCCGCTCCTGGGCGACCGGCAGTGAATGGCCCTCGTAGCCTGTAGGCAGGGCCTGTGTGTGGTGTTCCCAGCTGTGTCAGCCTGAGACAGTGCCTGGCCCACAGCCTGCTGCTTAGGGGGCTAAGTGCAGTCGCTGCACAGTGTCCTCGGGGGCCTCGGGGGGTTGGCTCCAGGACACCGAAATCTGGGGACGCTCACGTCCCTCGTGTGAGACGGCACAGCGTTGGCACCCCCCCCCCATGCACCTGCGTCCTGTCAGTCATCTCTGGATGGCTGGGGTGCCTAACACCAGGCACACGCCGTGTCCCTGGCTGTCGGTGGTGAGAAAGCAGGCTGAGGGCTCTCCACCTGCAGGGGGTCGGACCGGTGCAGGGGGGGCCCCCTCCCCCGCTGAGCGGCCCCATTCTCCCCCTCCCCGTCCCTACCAGCTGCTCAACTCGCTGTCCGTGGACCCCGACGCCAGCTGCAAGTATGGGCTGTACTTCCGGGACGGCAGGCGCAAGGTGGACTACATCCTGGTGTACCCACACAAGCGGCCCTCGGGCAGCCGGCCTCTGGCCAGGAGGGCGCAGCACGGCGACGCCGCGGCGGGGGCTCGCGGTGCGAGGCAGGAGCAGCCCCTGCCCGGGAAGGGGGCGCCGCCGCTGGACGCCGGCTCGCCCGAGCCCGCCGTGGACTACCACGAGGACGACAAGCAGTTCCGCAGGGAGGAGTACGAGGGCAACCTGCTGGAGGCCGGCCTGGAGCTGGAGCGCGACGAGGACGTGAGTGTGGGCGTCCCGGGCGCGCGTTTCCTCCCGGCTCCCGGGCCAGCGGCCCTGGAGACCCCGCCCCTGCCGTCAGCGTAGAAGTTTCTGATCAGCCTTGGGGAGCCCCCGGCCAGCCACCGGGGCACGCCTGCCCGGGGGGAGGGCAGGCCTCAGGTGTGAGGGGGCGTCATCCCCTGCGATCAGCGGGGAGCCCCTGTCCAGCTGGGCGGGCGTCCCCGAGCGCCGGGGCAGGACCAGCCGCCCGCTAGGATTCAGTCTCGCCGCCTGTGAGAGTCGCAGCTGGAAACTGGGCTGTTGTGGCCCCGGGGTCTCTGTCCCGGCTGTCCTGGGCCTTACCAGGGGACCCCGAGTCTCACTCTGCCTGGCCAGCCCGGCGGCTCTCGGAACAGTGCCGCCGCCGTGCGGTGTTCCGTTGCCTGTCGTCTTCATGACCTGGGGAGCAGGCGAGCTTGCCGGCGGGGGCCTCTCCCTAGGAGCCGAGGCCTGGAGAGCCACGGCCTGCGTGCCCCGTGTGTGCCCTGTGCGTGCCCCGGCAGTGTGCCCCGTGTGTGCCCCGTGCATGCCCTGTGCGTGCCCCGGCAGTGTGCCCTGTGTGTGCCTTGTGTGTACCCTGGCAGTGTGCCCCGTGTGTGCCGTGTGTGTGCCCTGTGCGTACCCTGGCAGTGTGCCATGTGTGTGCCCCGTGTGTACCCTGGCAGTGTGCCCCATGTGTGCCGTGTGCGTGCCCTGTGCGTGCCCCAGCAGTGTGCCCTGTGTGTGCCCCGTGTGTACCCTGGCAGTGTGCCCCATGTGTGCCCTGTGCATGCCCCGGCAGTGTGCCCTGTGCATGCCCCAGCAGTGTGCCCCGTGCATGCCCGTGTGTGCCCCGTGTGTGCCCCATGCGTGCCCTGTGTGTGCCCCATGTGTGCCCCATGTGTGCCCTGTGTGTGCCCCGTGTGTACCCTGTGTGTGCTCCGTGTGTGCCCCGTGCATACCCCGTGCGTGCCGTGTGTGTGCCCCGTGTGTGCCCCGTGCATACCCCGTGTGTGCCCCGTGTGTGCCCGTGCGTGCCCCGTGCGTGCCCCGTGAATACCCCGTATGCGCCCCGTGTGTGCCCGTGCGTGCCCCCATATGTGCCCCGTGCGTGCCCTGTGTGTGCCCCGTGCGTGCCCCATGTGTGCACTGTGTGTGCCCCGTGCGTGCCCGTGTGTGCCCATGCGTGCCCGTGTGTGCCCCATGTGTGCCCGTGCATGCTCCTGAGTGCCCGTGCGTGCCCGTGCGTGCCCCATGCATGCCCGTGCGTGCCCGTGCCTGTGTCTGTCTGTCCTGACTCGGCTCTGGCATCTCCTCCAAGGGCAGGCAGACCCACACCTTCTGCATCCTTGTCCGACTGCTCGGCCTCAGTTTCCCCAGTCTCCCCACTCTTACCTCAGTGGAAAGGGGATATTTGAGGATGTGGGGAGCAGGCGTTGGCCCATGTCAGAGAGCCTGGGTTTGATCCCTGCCTCAGCTCCTGGTCCAGCTTCCTGCAAACGCAGAGCCAGGAGCCAGTGGTGACGGCTCAAGCTTTGGGTTTTCCACGCCGGCGTCAGCCCGGCCATTGCCAGCATTTGGGGCGTGAACCAGCAGGGAGAGTCTCCTCTCTCTCTCTCTCTCTCTCTCTCACACACACACACACACACACACACACACAGAGAGAGATAAGTAAGTATTTTATTCTAACTTGTAGAAAATAGAATTAAAAGATAAATAACTTATTTTGGCGCAAAACGTTTTAAGGCCCACTCATGGGCGTCTCATCGCGCGCGTTTTCCACGAGCTTTTTGGAGACCCTTTGTCACGGATTTCAGAAACGTTTCTGCGCCGAAATTAGCTCAACTTTTAATCCCGTTTCCCAGAAAGTTGTAGAAGAGCCCTCGTGACCATGAGTAACGCTTACAAGGCGCCTAATTCAGAGCCTGGCGGGAGCCTTTTTTTTTTTTTTTTTTAGGATTTTATTCTGCTTATTTGAAAGAGGGAGAGAGGGAGAGACAGAGCGAGATCGTCCGTCCGCGGTTCACTCCCCAAGTGGCAGCAGTGGCCAGGACTGGGCCAGGCCGAAACTGGGGCTGGGAGCTCCGTCCCGGTCTCCCACGCGGGCGCAGGGGCCCAAGCGCTTGGCCGTCTGCTGTGCTCCCAGCCCATAGCAGGAGCTGGGTTGGAGGTGGAGCCGCTGCGTCTCCACCCTGCGTTTCTATGGGTTGCTGGTGTGACCAGCGTCAGCTGAACGCGGTGTGCCCCAGCGCCGGCCCCGGGAGGCAATGGTTATGTCACCTCTTAGCTAGCTGCTCATCAAGGTGCAGGAACAGCAGGGAGGGACAGAGAGGGAGGCAGGGAGACGAGACCCCCTGTCTGACTGGAACATCCCATCATGAATGTCCTTTTCCTCTCTTGCGTGACTTTGAAATACAACGTAAACATGACATCGATTACTGTCACCAGGAAAAGTCCGCTCTCCTAATGAGCGATCCCCAAATTGGCCCCGTGATTTCTCACTGGAGCCCAGAGGGGAGGGGCCTCTTCCAGGTGAACACGGCCTCGGTGTGGACACTTCGGGTTCCAGGCCCTGCCGGGGTCTCTGGCGGGTCCACCTGTGTTTGCCCAGGGCCTCCCTCACCAGGAGGCCCCAGGTCTGTCGGCCGCCGTCCCCGGCTTCCACGTGTTCTCCCAGCAGGGCCAGCGTGCGTGCGCCGGCTGCCGCCGGGGCGGTCCGTGCTCAGCGCCCCGGCCGGATCCATGTCAGGGGAAGAGGCCCCCTGGTGGGCCGGGGAGGGGGGTGGCACGTGCTCAGGGATCCGTGGGGGTGACAGCCCCAGGGGAGGTCACGGCCGGTGTGTGCTCTCCTGGGGGGAAACTGCAGAATCCTACCAGCTGCTCGAGCAGCCGTGACCCCGAAGCCAGGACCCGTTGCTCTGAGCCGGGGTTTCCGGCCCCAGTGGAACGCCACCCCTGCCTCTCCCCGGCTGCCAGCAACCTCTGCCACACAGAAACCAAATGCACCCCCAGTTCAGAAGCCCCGCTTTCAAGCTTTCGAGCCTGGGCTGGGGGAGGCGGGCTCCCTGGATGGAATCAGCCACGCCCTGGGTGCTCTGCGGGCCCCGCCCTCTGCAGGCATGGCCTGGGCGTGTGTGTGTGTGTGTGTGTGTGTGTGTGGCTCCTGGGCCAGGCAGGCTGTGAGCCCCTCCGTCCTTGCCTTCCCCGCCGTGTCCGGGGGAGGTGATTGTCACGAGGCATGCTGTGGCGACACGTGCAGGTGGCACTGCTGGAGGACGGGCGTGGCTGCTGTGGGTTCAACGGGGCCGGTTCCCAGGGGGCCACACAGCAGCCTCGTCCGTCCCCTGTGACTGCTGTGACCTAGGGCTTCCTCCCGGCCAGGTGTCTGTCCTGGATGCCAGCAGCCCGAGTCGCGGTATAGGAGCTGAGCCCCACCGGCGGGGTGGGTGTGGTTCACAGGGCAGGTGGTCTGGGGGAGCGACCAGGTCCAGCTGGGTCTGGTCTGGCTGTGCAGAGGGACCCTGGAGTCCCGTCCACACGCAGGCTTGGACAAGCAGGCCCAGGGGGGCCCGGCCTCCGCCGCTCCTCCTGCACTCGGGGGTATGGTCTGGACACTGACCCACAGGACGTGGGGTTGGGGCCCCTTGGAGCAGCCCTGCCTGGCAGGCAGCAGCAGGAAGAATGGCTCTGAGGTCTTTAGGAGCTCCCTGGCCCCCGCCCCGCCGCCTCCTCGCTGCCCACCCCTCGCCCTTGGTCGGCTTCCAGGGTTCCCATTAAAGGGACAAGAGATGCCTGTGGCCAGCACGTCTCCCTGTAACTGGAGCCCATCCGCATTTTTGAAGTCCAGCCTCAAAGCCTTTGGTCGTTATTTATGTCCGTGGGGTCACTGCCGAGAAGACCGCCCACTGAAATCCAGGCTGTGTGCGGGGGGGGGGGGGGGCAAGGCCCGTGCTGCCCCAGCGCTGAACTTGACCCTGACTTTGCAGATTCTGTCAAGGCCATGGGCCCTGGAACCTCCTCAGAGCCCGCCGGCATCCGTGCCTCTGTCCAGCCTCGCCTGCGCCCCTGGCTGGCTCGCGGGGCTGCTCCGTGGGCCTTCAGTCTCACCCTACCCCGGGCTGGCGCCGCGGGAGGGCAGCAACATCTGTGCTCCATCTTGGTTGATGTTTTCGAAAAGCAAGCGAGGGTGGGAGAATGCGTGATGGGTGGGGATGGCTCCGCCCCCGCGCTCCAGCCCCGCCCGGCCCCGGGGAGCTCAGGGTGTGGGTTTAGGCCCAGCTCAGCAGGGCACCTGCCTTCCACGGGGCTCGGTTTCCCAAGGGAGGGGTGAGCACAGCCCCTTGGCCCCGGTGGGAGCAGGGGTCCCTCCTCACGGCCAGGGCATTGAGGGTGGGGGTCAGGCCCCGGCTCCTGACCTTGCACTTTGCCCCACCCCACCCTGCAGGAAGCAGCCGGTGCTCCTGGGAGGTGAGGGGCTCTGAGGTTTATGCCCCCGGGGGTCTGCTGCCGTGGCCCCGAGCGTGGGATGGGACCTCGGTCCCTGGTTTCCTTGGGTCTGGTCTTGGTGCCGTGTGGGCGTTCTTCTTTTATTCTGCACTTTTCTTTAAAAAAAATTTATTAATTTATTTGAAAGTCAGAGTTACGTTGAGAAGGGGAGAGGTCTTCCATCTGCTGGTTCCCTCCCCAGATGGCCGTACCCCGGGGCTCAGCCAGGATGAAGCCAGGAGCCAGGGTCTCCCGTGTACCGGGTGCAGGGGCCAAGGACTTGGCCCATCCTCCGCTGCTTTCCCAGGCCACAGCAGAGAGCTGCTCAGAAGTGGAGCAGCCGGGACTTGAACTGGTGCCCATATGGGCTGCCGGCGTCACAGGTGGTAGCTTTACTGGCCTGCCCCCCTGCACTTTTCTTTTTAAGCTCTTTTTTTTTTTTTAATGAAAAAAATATTGAGAGGTGGAGATAGAGATCTTTCTTGCATCTGCCAGTT